GAATAACTGGGACAATGTTTTACTTTGCTAATTAATAAACCTACTTGATGTGACTTTGACATAGCACCGGCTCTGAGAGGTGCACGCTGAGCTGCTACTACAGCAAAATGTAGATGTGGCCATTTAGCGGCCTCTGCATAAATCAGCTGTCTCGAGGAAGACAGAAGTGGTCCTCTTTTAATGTTTAATGTTATTCATATGCAGCTTTTTGGCCAGCACTCACTTGAATAGGGAGAAAGCTTAGAGGCTAATCCCAACTTTTGAAACCTGACCAATCTCTTTGCCTTCCGCTCTTCTCTTTAAGTGTGTAGTCACCGCTATTAAATTCAAGAGCAGAAGAATGTCCTTTATATTTGCCGTACCGCACATTAAAAACATGCTGGTTGCTGTATAGATTACCATGGTAACCTTTGGTGACAGTTGAAACATCAGCTAGCCCCCAGCCTTGGTATCAATTTAAAACAGCTTAGCAATGTCTTCCAAGTTACAGTAAACACTTTGATTAAGAGTCTCAAGGTTCTTGGTGCATTTCTTTGCTTTTATCTTCTGCTCCTTTTAGGGAACAACTACTGGACCTAAGAAAAGAGAACTTTTACTCTAGAAGGAGGTAGAAGGGTATTATTTTAGTTTTTTCTGTCTTTTTCCACAGGCAGAGACACGAGGCATGAATAATTGCTGTCTTCTCAGCAGTGGGCCCTTTTTCTGCAGCAATATCAGGCTACAGGGGCTGAGGGTTGGCCACACGAATGCTGATTATGAGAAGTGAATAGTAAATATTTTAAACACCAAAGAAACCCTTGTGCATGATTCAACCTTTCAGCTTCGCAAGGTCAAAGCTAATTTGCAAGCCACGAAAAAAAGCATTTGGCAATTTTTTTTTTTTACAGAACTCAGTGTTAGTGGGGGAGAGAATGTGTATACGTGTGTGTGTGTGTGTGTGTGTTCGTGTAAAGGAAGGTCTGATGACATTACATAGACCTCTGATACTTAGTGAAAGAGTTATTATAGCCATTAAGGCTGGCTGGGCTATTGAAGCAGTGTGAGTGTTGGGCATACCTGCCAGCACTTCATTAATAAAGTGAATCACAGACTGCAGTTATGCATCAGTCCTGGCATTATCCAATACGGACGAAAAACAGCGAATCTCCAGCATTCCTTTGCACGAGCTACACTTCAAAGGTCAACAAGAGTAAGAATTAAAGGCACGGGGATTCTGTCAAATTTACATTTCCCATTAGAACCAGTGAGTCTACAATATTAAATATTGATTCACTAATATTCCTGCAAGGAAGGATGAATAAATGTTTCCATTAAACGGTACATGATTATGTTGGCCACTAAGACTCACTGTCACCATGTCAGCAAAATCAGACATTATAAAAAATAAAATAAAATCATTACTCAGTCCCACTGTAAAACAACTTCACATTTCATATCTTACGCACATGTTTTTGTAAATCCTGAATATTAAATCCCCAAACTGCAGAGAGGAAAACAACTCATTGTTATGTGTAAAAATGAGAAGTGCAGCCAGGTGTTTTTCAGTTCTGTAGCCAATTTACACCTGTCACAAAAACGCTGTTTCTGTCTCACTTTTAGATTGTCTGGTGATGATATCTTGCAGGTGAATTAAATAGCATTTTTTAGTACACCTGGAAAAAGCAAAAATCCTAAACCTTTATTAGAAATTGTTAACCAAATTAAAATATCATACAGTATTTGTATTTTATTTGAATTCCAATTATTACTAAGCTTAATTCATACTGGATTACTATAACACCCACTTTGTTCAAATCCACATTTGCCTCTGGGCTTAATGATACTTCTCGATTATGTTTCTCTTGAAGTGAAAATGTGGTCCAGCAGCAGCATCACCTCGCTTTCCCATTGGTCCACGGCTGTCATGGTAACCAACAGGAATTATTCTCTTGACTCTGCACGAGCACTAATATGATTTCCTCTCAATTATGACTAACATTTTAACACCGAAGTCCTGGGAAGTCGGAAACATGCGCAAATGTAGAATAACTACAATCAATAGAGAAAACACTGAGCACTTAGCAGCAAAAAACATCTCTTCAGATTTTTTTCAGTGTGAGATGCTGGTAAATATCTGATGCCCAAAGCCACACATTCACAAACACATGCGTTACTATATTTGTAACTGCTTTGTTGGCATAAAACATACTAGTAATTAGAAAAACATCTGTATTAATATTTTTTCTTTTAACATCTAAATGATCTCAAATGAGGTTTTATGATGGCATGGAAGCTTCTGATGAACTTCATTTTCTTTCAGTTTCAGTTTCTTTCTATGTTTGGGTCCAAAATTCCTGTATTTTTATCTTTTTTCTAACTAATGATCTCCTTGCTACCCAAACTTTTTATGTTGGAAGATGCTCCATGTGCTGATAACACTAATATACGAAACACAGCAGACCAGAGACAGGTACACCTGAAGGAGTTCATTATGTGTTTAATATGCTGGTATCCTGCATGCAGGCTATAATGATGGACCTACAGTGCATATTTCCTCTGTGCATGAAGACGACTTTATTAAAAAGACAAAACGTCATGGGGCGGTTACAGCTCCACAGTTGTTTGCTTTCATCCAGAGCCTGTGAAAAGACCTGGTAATAAATCAAGCAGACACATGAAAACAGATAGTGTAGTATCCTGTGACTGGGGACGCAGTGAAGGAGTCTGATATTTAGATTCCCTAAAGATACACAGAGAGGCTCAGCTCCTCTTGTGTCTCTGAACTACACAAACAGACATCAGAGAAGAAGTGAGGCACACTGATGAGGAATATCCAACAACGTGTGGAAGCCTGTTATCTAACAGGGTCTTCGGAGAGATGTGAGGGCAGAAGAGAAGAAGCAGAGAGGAGAGGGAAAACCGAAACAAAAGCTTAGAGAGAAAATAAAGCAGAGGAAAGGTAGAAGGGGGGAGTCAAGACTCCTGAAGGACTTTAAAGATGGTAATTTACAGAAAGCAGCGGTGATGAGAGGAAATTATTCTGAGATGGGGACTCTGGAGCACCACGGAGTTGAGAGGAATGAAGAGAGGGAGCAAAGGAGCAGAGACAAGGCAGAAGGTAATCTCTGCTACATCTATATTGTGAGAGAACGGACGCCTAAATGAAAATGAATGAAGCTACTCTGGAGAACTAAACAGAACAAAATTATAGAAGGAAGATCAGTGTTTTACATTAATATTTTAAGCACTTATTTATTTACGGCTGCACTGAATGCTTATACTTTGCACTGTGTTTTGTGAGAAAACATACAGCGTGAAATATCTCATCAAAAGAATCATTTTAAATATATTAGCCATTGTCATTGAAAAAAACAAACATGGCACTTAGTCATAGCAACTTTAGAAACCATGATCAAGATGATATATGATAGAGCAAGTTCGTTTGCATACAGTCTATCACAGCATATTAGTTTTAAATTAACATGTCACTCAAGGGCTTTGACTGACACATCACTCTACTATAGCAGACGTGGTGCCATGTCAGCGCTACTGTCAGTGTCACAGCATGCAAAGAGACATAATCAAAAGACAGACTGCAATCCAACCAAACAATGGATATTTAAACTTTTTTACAACTTTGCGTGATTAAATGTGTCACATAGTCATACACATTTTTTAAAATATAAGCAGCCGATATATTGTACCTCCTTCTGTGCAGCTGTGAAGACAACTAATAAACAAAGGGTTGTGAAGGTGAAATGTAAAAAGAATTATGTAAATTGCATACATTCAAACTTAATAAATGCATTATACAGATATTTCTTACAGTTGCCATAGCTAACAGGCTAAAGCAGCATTACCTTCCCAGATGTTTGTGATATCTCTTCCATTCATGTGTTTGCTGCCCTTAATGTCGGTTGCTGTGCCAAAAATTTTTTATTCTCTCCAGCCATGTCCTCCAGTTTCACCTGGAGGATCCTGCAGCTTTCATGAGTTTAGTGGAATATACAGTTCCTCCAGCATGTTCTGGGTCTGCCCCAGGGTCTGCTCCCAGTTGTACAAGCCAGACAGCCTCCGCAGAGAACCATCCAGTGGGGATCTCGGTCAGATGCTCAAAACAACTCAAAAGGCTCCTTTAAATACAGAGCCAGTTCAGTTGGACATGCTGAAAGACCTCCAGAGGGACTGGATTCTTTATTTTTTTATTTTTTTTAATGCAAACTCTGAAATAGTGAATCAGTCATTTGACTAGTGACCATGGGGGATGGTTTGTGAAGAGATGGGCTAGTAAATCGAAAGCAGCGTGCGATAGAGGACAACAGAATCCGAAGGTCACCAAAACACATTCTGCACGCAGTCGTACAGAACCGATAACACATTCTGTGAGGCCTAGATCACACTGACACTGTGCTCTGACTGTTGTTGACAATACAGACAGCCATCACTCTGACTTTTCAGAACTTGATTACCCAAAACAAGGATCCAAGCATTCACATTGCCATGTGTCACCTCACATGACAGCAAAGAAACGCTGTTAAGTCCACCTGTGTATAGGGGTATGTTGGGACAATTTGCCCCTGGACTTATGGAGGATAACATCGGCCTTAGGGGTGGGGGTTGCTGATGTGCTTAGCAGAAGTTTAAGGGTATGTGGGAGTCTTTAAAATGCCAATGAAAAAAATGGATGGAGCATTTGAAAAGCTGCACTATTTTCTGAATACAGTGACCCGGAGACTCAGAAAATCTTAGAAAGTAGTGTCCTTAACATAAAACCATCACTGACAAAAGAAAGACAAAGGTAAAGAACAAGTATCAGGCAAGAAGTCGTCCCAGAAGGTATATTTCCAGCTCTCAGTGTCTCCGTGTCTCATTGTGTCCACAGGAGACCTCAACACCGAGGCAGTGAAGTAGCTGAGAGAGAAGTGATATATAGGACAGAGGAGACATTAAAGTAAGAGGGAAGTGGGAAAAGAAAGCAGCATGCTGAGGGGGTTGTGGAGATGCGTGGGGTGGTACTGTACCTCTGTTGCCAGTGACTGTGGGGTCTGAGGCGTGGGCGCCTAATAGTGCGGTAGGATCTGGAGGGATGGGATGTAGGGGGGGAGTGGTGGATGGAGACAGGGTGGTGGGGACGTCTGTTGGAGGGGACAGACAGACATATATACACAAAAAAATAATAAAACAACAACAAAATGAATTCACACGGGGACACTTTCTCTGTGATTTCAAATGCTCTGTCTTGCGAAGGCCACTTCTGCAGCAGGAGAGCAGAATTAACCTGGAGTCTTGTAACAGATCCTGCACTGGCAACCTTTCAACATATGAGAGGAAAGAAAGTTGGACTGCGCAAAATGAAGAAAGTAATTTGACAAATGATCTGTGCCAATTATCCATGTTTGCAAGGGTGATTTTAGAAAAAGCGATTCAAGCCATCATTACCATGCTCCGTTTTTGACTTCTCACTACAGGGTAATGGAAAAAAAAAAGTGCTTCATGCAAGGCAGTGTCTCTCACTGTCATATGTTAAGCAACAGAAAAAAAAAAGGGACTGAAACATTGTGTGACAAAGTTAATGAGGTTACACTACCACCTTGGCTTTTATGTTTATGTCACTCCGCATTTTATGGTGAGCTACAGGCTTTTAATTGGCTGTGGTAGTCTTTCTCAGGGCCAACTGTCCTCTGTGTCTTGGTGACATTTCAGCCTTTGCGTGACTCACTGAGCAGCTAACTGCATGTCTTCAGGAAAGAGGCAAGAGAGAAAACGTCTCCTTGTTGGAGGGAAACCATTAAAAAGGTATTTTCCAAGAATTATGGAGGCAATTGTGAAAGGCTAAAAGGTGTGCTAATCACTAATGAAGGGTAGGAACAGACTGGGTGCCATTTCAAGAGAACAAGTAATGAATCTGAATAGGACTCTTTGACCCTCCCATACCCAATTGCCTTTTTTGTGGTGCAGAATTTGTCAGTTTAATAACATCACTGTCATTACGTGCATTGGTTATTCTTGCTGTTAGCTTCAGCTGGCATTTGAAGGAATTGTTAGGTGCAGGCGCATACCAGGGCATGCATGTGAGGCACATTAATTAAACTGGAGCTGCGGCTAAGCAAATAATCAATATCTGGATTAAGCAAGAAAAAAACAAAACATCCAAAGACATCACCTTGGGCACTAGAAAATTGTGATTTATTTCTTTTCTTTTTACCATTTTCTGATGCTTTATAGATGAACAATTAATGGAAATTAAATAAACAGATTAATTGATAATAAACACCATCATTAGCTGCAGTCCTAAATTACAAACTCCACAAACGCTGCACTGGCAGTGAGGTAACGAGTTTGGAAATAGAAATATGTCATGAAAATTTGAAGTGCTAAAAAGCTCTGATAGGCCTATTGCAGTGAAGCAAAACATTTATCAACAGAAATAATTTATTTATCTTCCACCTTAGTGATCCTGCTTAATATGCTGCTATATGTTCTTCATTGACTTTGGCAACGTAACCGGCATGAAGATTGGATTGAGATGTGCATAGGCTTCCCTGCTTACCTGTATATGAATTCTGCCTGTGAACTTCACATCTCCTTCTGCTTTAATAAAGATTCCCAAAGGATTTTTATTTGAAGGTAAAAGTATCATAAATGTACGATAGTATACATAATTAGTCCGTCCTGATTCTACATTGTGGCTTCAAATGCATATATGGAAGCTTTACCTCAGTAACAGGCATGTAAACATTCTCCAATTGGTTTGAAAAATCACATATTAGCTACATAAATGACGTTGGTTTATGTTTTTGCAATTACCTCGTCACGGCGCGTACGAGCGGGGGAATCAACATTTTAGCGAGTCGACAGCATCGCTAATTAGAGGAAGTAAATTTTGAGTTGCATAATGCGGAGATTTTACTTTGCCCTTTTCTTGATTTTACCCATTTTAATTTTACTCAGCGCACATTACTAAGCACTACGAGCTGAAGATCAAGTTGTAAGCCATTAAAATGCTGTTCATTTGGAAGATGACATTATATTTCTATGACATTTACAGCCTTAATTTGATTCATGGATCTATTAAAGCACTTGTCATTTGTGCAATGAGTTGACTAAAGTCTCTGGTTGGAGCGATAAATAACTTATGTGCACGATTTCTGGACGTGTGCATTGTTCTGTTTAATCCTGTGCTTCCTGCAGCCGATGTGTGATGACGTATATGTGGATGTATCTTTGTACACAGGCACCGTATGCAGTATGCAAAAAAACCCTTGTCCATATTTTGGAGAACTTGCTCACAACAACATTGGGTGTCTGCGTGTGGAGACTCTACATTCATTAAATTTAATGAATTACAGCTTTGAGTTACATAAAAGTGACTAATAAAGTGGTTTCATCAAATAATAAACCTGATTTCCCATTTATTATGCTGTGTAGGATTTTAATTCTGCAACATTTCTGATTCTAAAGGTTTTCGCATGTTTCACAGCACTTCATTACCGACTGAGTGTAGCCTTGGCTGTATCCTTCATCAGCTGGTTATTACTGTACATCCACCGAGCACCAACAAACTAAAAATCACCCTGGCGATGCATAGCCAAAGGCATCTGTTAGGTTTATTCTCTCGTGCTTGGGTCTGGGTTGAAATAAAAGAGCGCGCGAAACATTCCTCTCGGTGCATGTAATAATATTAACATAATATTTTATTGATCTACTTAGGGAAATTCTACTTGGTCTCCAGTTGTGTGATTTTTCTGGCTTTTTTTTGTCCATTATCATACAACTGCTTAACTTTCTGAAACAGAGGGAAAAGAGATGTTTCTCAGCTCTGTTTTTTATTAATTTATTTTTTTATTTTATTAAAGCATTATTACTTAATGCCAAGAGACAAATGGCAGCGGAGAAACGGAAGAGAGGAAGAACTATCTGTTTTCCCTGACACTGAGTCCCTTTATCCTCCACCTCCTCTGGCGTTACTAGGAATTACTTATCCTTCCTGGTGATATTCCTGACAACACAGCACTAAATTCTGCCTCCCTCACACATTTCCCTCCTGGTGTGTGTGTGTGTGTCTGTGTATGTGTGGAGGATCTGGGACGCAGGTTTATTTAAGGAAAGGCGTTGGTGGCATTTGTGTCACCTGAGGCCCTTATTCTCCCTATGAGAGATGGTACCACTAATCACTCTTAGCAATGATACAGTATGCAGATCAGGAGGCATTATAATCCGAGGTTTTTACAATGGAGTTTGGTGCTTGTACCGGCGAGTCTCATACGTGCCGTTATTTATGTGCGGCATTGTCGGGATCCAAGCCGTCCTCTTGTAGCTATTTTCCTTTTACAGGTGCTTCATCTGTCGGTGGCGTCAAATGAGTAACTGATGAATTTTTCCCTCTGGACATCATTACGCGAAAACACAATTACCCACATATCAGGCTTTCCTCTGAACTCACCATAGACGTAGAGTACATATTCAGCACTGCTGGTCCCTAGGTGGTTGCTGGCTTCACAGCGGTAGGTGCCATTGTCTGTCTTGTTGAGTGAAGTAAAGGTGAGCTCTCTCCCCTCTACAATCATCCTGTCCAGGTCAGGAAGTTCACCTCCATCCTTTGTCCACATCACAGGATCTGGCCTGGGAGGTAAGGGAGACAAAGTGTGCTGCATGTACGTGTCTGGCAGCATGAAGATATGAGGAAAGGCTGACGTAGACTAATGCAGAATTTGAGCGACTTACGAAGGGTTTCCTTTGGACACACACTCCAGCTTTAAGTACTGACCCTCCTGAGGGACTGCAAGGGAGTGGATGATTTCCACACGAGGAGCATCTAGGACAAGACAGAGAGGACTCAGAGTGAGGGGGGTGGGGATAATATGGAATACATTAATATTGACAGAACTATCCTATTATTTTCCTGACATTGATATGACATGATAAGTAATAGTAAAAAGTCACGAGAAAAAAAATGGTTCATCTCAATTAGTCAGATTTTTTTTTGTTTCTTCTTACAGAAAATCCCATAATTAAAAAAAAAAAGAAGGGAAAAAAAAAGATTGAAGTATAATTAAATCTGATGTTAGAGATTTTGAAAAAAATATAAGATGAATAGCTATGAATTAGGGCATGCCATTATAAGAATACGACAAGATTCAAAGACTGTACATTATGATTTCAATGGACAAAAAGATGATTTTCACCCTGTCCAGCTCGAAATTACATGATAAAATAACAAGAAGCAAATGTAATGCACATATCGAAATTGTGAAAAAATCTTCAGCTCTGAAATGACATATTTACAGACACTGCCACAAATGTGTAGGTCTTAATAACTAGATATAGAATGGGATTCTGCAACCATAAAACCACTCCAAGGATATCAGCTGTTCCTTTCTCTCTCTCTCCCTCTCTCTTTTTTTTTGTTGTTGTTGCGTTGACCTTCTCCTCTTATGTCCATGTGTACACCTAATGCATGTGTTTGAGTGACTGTGCTTCGTGTGTACACTCACAGTGGACCTCCAGTACTTCAGTGGCCTGCTGCGGTGTCTGTGCGAGTGCCACGTGGTCCACTCTGCAGGTGTAGGCCACTCCATCATCATTTCTGTCCACTTGCAGCTGCAGAGAGCTCCGTACTGTAAATGTCTTCCCACTTGCATTCACCTCTTTGGCACCTTTGGAGAGAGTTGCATACTGTCACCAATGCAGCACATTTATCTTTCAGCGTGCGACGGCCGCGCATCTGTGTGATGCCCCTGTGTTCCACCCACCCAACGATCTGCTTCGTACACGCAGCCAAGGTCTTCTACCCGTACACTGTCTACGAGAGCTTATAATGCTATGCAGCGAGCACCTACATTGAAGATTTCACAGTGATATCAGTTATATCTTCATCACATCACAGTTCTGAAAAATACCACACTGAATATTTGATAAAGTTGGCATTTGGGAGCAAAGATCATACTCCCAAATGTATGATTAAACTGATAGAAGCCAAACGGACTTTAAAAACCCAAGAACTCAAGAACTTTGGAAGCTGCGTTGTGAATAAAATATATATATTTTTTTACAAAATCTTCAATTTACTTCACTTTTTCCACGAACCCAACAACCACAGTTAGAATATCATCATTCTACTTTCTTCACTAATGCCTGTCAGGCTTCTGGCCCTTTGTCTGATGCATGAATGGGTTCTGTACTTCCTTTGTGTTTAGTTGTTAGACACTTAAGAGAGAGTTATGCATACCAAAAGGTGTCACACAAAAGAATAAATAATCAAAGAAATGAGCAAAGAAGCAAAGGGAACAGAAGGTCCAGCTCTTACGAAGCATCAACACGAGCATTTACAAAAGCACTGACTCAACAAGGCTGAAGATTACTACACCCATACCATCCATCTGCCACACATGGTTTATCTTGCATCCCGGGGTGCTGGTACAGGTACACTCTGGACAGGGCCAACACAAAGACACAGTCAGCCATGCACGCTTAGACTCACACCTACGGCCAGTTTAGCATCACAAATTAACCTGCCATGCATGTTTTTGGACTCAACCAACAACAGATTCAAACCGCAGACCTTCTAGCTGTGAGGCGACAGCGCTACCCACTGCACTACCCACTACACTCATACCCCCCAAGTCCTACTTACTGCCCTCACAACCATCACATGTGTCTGTTGTTTTTTAAGGAAGAGCTGTTTTCTGTTGCTTTCTCCCACTATTTATGTTTTGCGGGGTCACTGTGTTGTCTGTGCAACATCAGTACACATCTCCCTGGTTGCTGCCAGTTCTGGTCCACCTGTGGCCTCACCTGCCATCTCTGTGTGTGCTTCTCTGGGCTGCACTACTCCCACACAACTTGTCGAAATCTCAACAAACATTTTGCACGCACTTCACTTCTACCTCTCCCCCTACATGACAGCTATTTCCAGACTCGCCTAGACACAAACATTACCGGTGCCAATCACGCATTCGGCACCAACTGAATTTCACCTTGTACCGAAGTATCATTATGCACAGTCCTATTCATTTCTACAAATTGTTCTAGGAGCTGTACCGGCAACACCTGCCTTGTAATCCCAACCAAACACCTGATCTTCCACTCTGTGCACATCAACACCCCCGATCACTGGCAAGGCAGTGGAAAACTCCTCCAACTTTCAAATTATCCACCTGATGTCCTGACATTTGGCAAACTCCTTGATCGCATCATCCCCCCTTTTGCTTCATTTGCCTCCCTAATGATATAGACTTTAGATTAGTCAAATGTGTTTGATTTAAGTGCCGCGACCTGCCCTCGTGACACTCGTCTTCGTCTGCCACATTAGTGTCCTTGAAAATTTTATTGGTTAGTGATAAATAATCCCCCCCCCCCACCCCTGAACGCAGAGATACCGAGTAGGTGGAGAGGCTCTTCTGACTGAAGGGTCACAGAGTGGACTCCTGCACCACTGACTTTCCCCATCCCCGTCAAGCTGTCCTTGAGCTTGGCACCCTGTACTTAGTCAGGGCGCCCTGTGTACTGTCCAGATGACCACAGTTTCATCGCCATACAGAATGACAGTCCAGTAGCAGACTGAGATTCTCTAAGCATACCCAACAACACCTTGCTGACATGTTACAAATTCTTGTTATTTTCTACAAGTTCCCGGTAGTTTTTTCCCTTCCTTTCTGGAATATTACACACTTTTGACCGTAAAGTTGGAAAAAAATGTTTTTTCACCTCTTTTCATGAAACGATTGTGACAATGCCATTTGTTTTTGATGATGTATATCTTCTCAAAACTTTATTGATATCACAGTAAAAATTAAACCACAATTAACTTTTGCAAACTGTGTATTCAGGCTTCAACAAAATTGGGGGTATTGAACAATAGGATTAAGGGTTTTGTTTCACTTCTTCAACCTTGGTCAATTTAACAGGAAAGACATATTCAAGGGGATTTCGTGCATAACAATGTCCAATATTACTTTTTCAAATGTCACTCAGTCACTAATATTGAGTATGGCCACCCCTGACATGGATCAATACGTTAAGACATCGTGGCAGAACCCAAAGTCAGAATTCGTTTCACCTGGTAACTGTATGTGAACATTGCACTTGGTCAGAAGTGATTACTGATGTGTACAAATAGAAATAAAAAGAGGAATGAAAAAAAAAATGATTCCAGCTTTATGGGCAACAGCATAGTTAGAAAAAGAATTGGAAAGGAGGACCTACAGTGTCCTTTATATAATAGTGTTCTCCCACAAAATTGCATTTCTCGACTGACCCTGATCCTACATATAGAACATTCTCCAGAACTCATATGCTGTTCTGTGATACCTTATGTAATACAAATCACTGTCCTCTTCCACACTCACAACTACGGCTGGCACAAATAAACATCACCAGATGTTAACTACTGGCTGTTTTACTGGATAATAACTTAATTATCTAAACATATACAGCTGCAAGTTTTTTTAATGCATTCTTCCTCTCAATCAGTTCAACCAGTGGTGTTTGGTCTGCTCACATTTCATCCTACTCAGAAATCTCCCGTACTAGTTCTGCATTCAGATGCTGTCCTGCCTAGTTCAACATGTCCCTCGTTTTCTGTATTTTATATATCATAGCAAATTCAAGGACATTGTACTGTGCATACAGTCTCCCTCTCATGCTGACCGCCTTTGTTTGTGTCTCCTAAAGAGACTGTTTACGCTCCATATCCTTCTCTCCTCTGTGCTCATCTGCTCCACTTTCTAAGCATCCCACCCCACTGTCGACTCTCCCTCTCCATTCTGCCAATCAACTATTCTGCTCAGCCACTTCCCCCAACTGAGGCAATGAGCCCGCCTCCCCTAGAGATGAATGACTGACAGGTCTGCAGTGTTAGCAACATCTACCCAAACAACAGGAGAGAGAGGGAGAGAATGACTCGATTTCTACAGAAAGAAGAAACTGCAGGAGACAAAGGAGAGTGAAAAGGAGCGGGGGGAGAGCGCTGGAGGGAGAGGACATCTAATTTCTAATATCTAATATCCATGTTTCAGGAGCGCAAACATTTTCCCCATTATTTCTATTAGCTATGCCAGGTCCTCATAAACTTGTCCCTGCCTACAACTTCTCCTTCTGTCTGCAGAAGAAGGTTCCTTCCACATATATAGTGTTCAAAAAAGTCCCCCATACTCTGTTTTTCTCTGTTTTCCATCTTCTCCTGGTAATATTTCTGTGTTATTGTTGAGCTACATATTGGGGTTAATGAGTACTTGGATGCTTTAATCAAACACCGTTGCTTTGATTCAACTTACAAATTGAGAAAATTCACATTACTTGAAATAAATGCACTATTTATGTACGCGCACTCAGGCGGCGCAACGTGACTAACTTGCACCGAAGAAAGGTTCAATCATACGCTAACTTATCTGGAACATCAAATCCTTTCAAAAAGGTCATGTTTGATTTTTTTTTCTCTTTAACCTGAAAGACGCTTCTCGTTTTTTCTGCATTTTTTGTCTTAGTTTGAAAAGATAATTAGAACCTGCGGTGTTTTCACTTTTTTTTTTTTTTTTTTTAGGAAAAATACTGTATGTCAATTCAAAACATTGTAATGGCTTTCTCTGAATAAACTGAATGAATCATCCTGAGTTGTGCAGTCTGATTATGCTCATATATTATGCTGAGCAAGACCAGAATTTAAGCACTTCAGTCAGTGTGATAGGCACTCAGCGATGTCCCTGTAGCAATTAACCTAATGTTCTGACTGTACTTAAACTCCACTATTTCTCACTGTAGGCTGCCTTTCGGAGGAGAAAAAAAAATAATCACAAGATTTCTTTTCTAAGTTATAATATTTCGATCTCAGTGGTTCTTGATTGTAAATGCACTCTGCATTGAAACAACACTACTGGAGAGATTGAGAAACTCACTTTCTACTGTGTATAATTTGGCTGTGTGATTTAAGTGTCTCGGCTTCTTTAGCTTCTTTTCTCATGGCATTTTGAATGGACTCTGATTGCTTCTGTGTGATTCAGGATAAGAGTACTACAAAAACTGACACGCTCGCACAAAGTTTGACTTCATTAATATCATTATTTGGTCCAAAGTCTTCTGAGATCCACTTCGAGAACATAATAACAGTTGTCTGACAGCAAGTAAGACATCATCGATAAAGTGCATCAATCTGCATGCACTCTTGTGAGAGAACTAAAGTGTGGGTGCATGTGTTTGGGTGAGAGTTGGTATAATTGGTCTATAAATACAGTGTCTTCTAACGTTTTCAACACAGCTGAAAGGAGAAGCTGACATTGAGCTGCCATTAAATCTCAGTCTTGTCAATCAAAAACTCATCTGTCTCATATCACACATGCTCTATATGCTTGTGTGCCTTCTTTATCAGACTGAATGTGCAAAGGTGGTGAGACGGCACCGTCACTTTTACTTTCTATGAGGAAGAATTACATACATGTTGCTGTGATATGGCTACATACATTTTTATATAGAGTTTCTATAATTCTACATTTGCAATAGTTATGAGGCAACAACTGCACAGAGTCATACTTAAAAGTGGTATATTTGTAAATGTATAAATCTTTGCACAATTTACAGAGTTTGCCTAAAGACAGTTGAGCATTTCAACATGCACAATAACATACAAAAAAAGGCAGGAGAAATGGACACCGTCCCGCTATGT